CTCACAATTCAAACACATTTTTTGAAGTGTTCAAACTATCAAGTTTTGAAACTTGTGCATAACTTTCATTCAACAATTTTTATACAATTTAAACAAGTTTTTCAAGGATTCATACAAGTGTAAAAATGAAACTTGCATGATTTTTATATCATTCAAAGAGTATCATTTAAACATTTTGAGCACCTATTATATATGTTTGGATTGTGATCAAGAGAAAGAGAAGAGCAAATCATTCATCTTGGAAATTATTTCAAGAACAAATGTAAATCAAATATTTTTAAAGTGTATTATGACTTAATCATGAAGTTTGTGGTGATAAATTGTTGAAAATAGGTCATTTGAATTTGGTTGATTCAAAGTCCATCATAATATTTCGTGTTATACAAAAGTCCTTTGAATTTGGATTGATTCAAAGTCCATCATAGTGTTTAATATCTGTGAAAAATGTTCTTTGAATTGGGGTTATTCAAAGTTCATCATAGATTTGGTGTTTGTGTATACTTTAGAAGATTGTAAAATAGGTCTTAGCATGAGACTTGTACAAATATATAAAATAGTGGAAAATCCTATTGTAGAGAAAAGAGATGTACCCTTGATTATAAGGGTAACTAGTATAATTGCTTTGTGTCATTTATCTTTATGCAATTTACTTTCTACAATTTAAAGTCATTCTAAGAACATATCACATTCATAACTTTCGATAAAATAACAAATTAAGAATTATTATACAAAATGAGAAAAAATAGATAACCTTTAACTCACCCCTCCTCTTAGATTGCATCTCATAGTTTCACTATTAAATTTTAATGATTTGTATCATATTATATATTTTCATTTAAAAACATTATAAATAAGTTTCTAAGAAAAAATTCATAAGGAAAATTAGTTTAAATATTTATGATAAAAAATTATTTTTAGTATTTTATTCTTTTATTATGATTTTTTTAATATTAAAACTTCACTAAATCACTTAATTTTAAAGTTATTTTGAATAAGTTTTCTTAAAACTTAATTTTAGATATATTTTTTGAAAACTAGGATTTTTTTTTTGAAAACTCGGTTGATTATGTTTTAATCCCAAATAATGTAAATTCATATTATTATATGTCAAAATTAATTTTTTTAATTTATAAAAAAATAATAATTTATATTATAAAAATAGTTTTAATAAAAATTAATTTAAAATATTTTTATTTTTATTTAAATTTCTTGAATCATAGTTAAATCATTTGAGTGTGGTATATATAACAAAATAACTATAATCAAGTGCAACAAATAAATTTACAAGTGTAATTGAAAATCAAATATAATTAAGATTTTTTTGCCAATATCTAATCAATGGAATATCTCTATAAATTTTCATGTCTTTATACAGTGACGTGAATGATTAGAAATATATAAATAAAAATTAATATATATTTAATTGGGAAAGAGTTGAAACCACTTAATATCAGAATTGATTCCTAAATCGAATTATATCAATAGTGAAAAGTTAAAAAACTAATAATTAAAATCTTTTTTAAAAATCTCATATTTCAAAACTTAATTAGTCTATCGAATCTATTTTTTTATTTTATTTTCACTATCAAATCTATTTTTATATTTGAATAAAACATGTTAAAACAACGCAATCTAATTAAAACTATGTGAACGATATATTGGTAATCAAGATTGATTTCATAATCAATTCTAAATCTAAAGAAAACTACAATAAATAAAATAAAAAGAAAGAGATTGATATAATGATAATCAATTAAATTTTTGATTGATTTTATTATCAATCTTAAATCTAAATAAAATTAGAATAAGATAAATAAAATAAAAAGAAAGAGATTGATATAATGATAATCAATTTAATTGTTGATTGATTTTATTGCCAATCCTAAATCTAAATAAAATTACAATAAAATAAATAAAATAAAAAGAAAGAGATCGATGATAAAATGATAATCAATTTAATTCTTAATTGATTTCTTAATCAATTTTATATCTTTTATTTTCTTTCATGTTATATGTGTTGTATCTTAAAACTCTATAAATATTTTTACGTGACAAAAAAAAAACTAAGAATAGAAAATCAACAAATAAAATAAGAGGAAAGTAGAAGTTAAATTGGTAAATTTCGCATATCTTCTCAAGTTATTTTTTCATGTCTTTTAAGTTTTAATATTTAGTTTGTAAAAAATTCTTGTTGTAAAGCTTTATTTTCGCTCATGCTATTATTAACTTTGTTTTAGGTGCTGTTTTGTTATCATTATTGAATGTGGATACAAGTATTTCTAATCTATTTTATAAATTTTTTATGCTATTAAATATGGGTGACAAAGACAACTCCGTTTTATTTGTATTTTTTAAGACAATTATATTTTATTTGCATTTAAATGTACAGTAATCGATAGTCTTTCATTCAACTTTAATTTTTTTTAGATGGATTAAGATTTTAACCACCTGCCTTCAAAAAAAATCCGCCCCTCTCCATTTTATTTCCAGACTTTTAAAGACGGACATATTCATATGACACTCCTATTATTATCAATATTATATATTATCAATGTATCTTTCATGTTTATATTTTTATAAACTATTTTGTTTTTCTATTGATTGTATTTTTATTGTCCATTATCATAGAATCTGCATCCTCCTCAATTCAGCCTAGGCCATTTTGGAAACATGCACTTAAAGTTCTGGCTGGAATAGTCCTTCTTGCCAGCACTTTTATATTGACAATTCTCTGCTACCGTTATCGCACAAGCATGCTAGAGTTTGGAATCAACTCAGCTTCCATCAACTCACTCAATATTAAAAAATCAAGAATCACCGCCTAATGGAACATTACCCTCTTCATCACGAACCACGACAATTATCATCGTCTATTTTACGACGATATTTCTCTTAACATCAATTACAAAAATGAACACAAGCAACGCCAAAGTCTTCTCTCCGCCACTCCTTTAGAACCTTTCTCTCAAAGAAGCGGTTTCATAAATACTACCACGGTCCCACAGAACATGGATGTCAATGACGATGATGTGGCTACCCACATTGCCAGTAGCTCCTCTCATGGAATGGTTAACTTTGAGGTTATGTTTTCTGGTATTATCAAATTTGTTGAGGATGTGTTCAATATTCAAAAACTTCGGTCTATGAAGATTGTTTGTAATCCTCTTAACTTTGTATCGAATTAAGATCATTTAGAAAGATCGCATAAAGGTCATTTAGAATACTCGTCTAATTGGATTTTAATGCATGGTGTAGCATGCTACTAGTTCAAACTGAGTCATTTATCCATATTTATTATTAGGTTATTAGGACTATTTATTAGGGTACTTTTTTATAAATATTTTAATTGCTTTATTTTTTAAATTTTTTGGATATTCCTTTAGTTATTAAGAATATATTTTTAATATTCATTTAGATTGAAATAGTTTTATATAGTACAAGGGATATTCTATTACATCTTTTTGTGACTTTGATATACGGTAATTTTGATAACTTTAGTTAATATGTTTTCTCTCACATCAATATAATATACATTAATCATTTACTCTTTCATTTTGTTAACTAAAGTCACAAAGTTATGGCAACAATAAAGTCATCGGAGCCAAACCCGTATTCTATTTTTATGTATTTATATAATGATATGAATGACTAGAAAAATATAAGTCAAAATTAATATATACCAATAATATATAAACTTAATTGATATATACTGACAATGTAAAATTATTTTACACCGTCATTCAATAGAAAACTAATAATATGTCTTTTCATTAAAATAATTTTAAAATAATAGTGTGACTTGTTATGATATATTGTTGTGATTGGTTGACAGTGTAAAAATTATTTACAGTGTCAGCGCATCACCATTTTTCTCATTATATATATATATATATATATATATATATATATATATATATATATATATATATATATATATATATATATATATATATATATATATATATATATATATATATATATATATATATATATATATATATATATATATATATATATATATATATATATATATATATATATATATATATATATATATATATATGTGTGTGTGAAAAAAATTTAAATATCTCATAGGTCGATATATTAATGTTAGGCTAAATTTAGATCTTAGTTGCATAAGAGATAAAAATAATAAAACAACTTTTCTACGTAAATTTTTTAAGACCACTCTTACGGCAATATATATAGCTAGGTTTTAAAAACTAATGGCCCATGGGCCTCTTACACAATAAACAAACAACATAAATAAGAGAAAAATGCTAATGACACCCCTTCTTTTCTTTAATGGATCGTGTTGACTTCATAACAATACTTTGGAACCCATAGAGAACCTTGTCCTCAAGGTTCATAGAATTAATGTCATACATACTTGGGCCTGAGTGATGAGATGTCGTGTGGGTCTTGGGCTGAAGTTTTGAAGAGAGGCTCATATGAGATTGATGGCTAAATAGAGATAAGGGATGAAGCGAAATCGGATTGTGTGTTGGGCAAGAGTTAGAAGGAGATAAGGTAGTAGGGTTAGGTGGGACAAAATAGTCTTTAGCCACGTGAGGAGTAATGGGAGTTGTCCTAAATGCAGAAGGGTGAGACACGCGTGTGGGGAAGTGGGACGCGTCACGTGAACTCGACGGTGGGGATGAGTGGATTAAAGGACTGTTGGAACACGTGTTTGGATCCAAACAGATACGTGTGTGGCTCCTCTTAATAGCTATTGGGAGTTTAGCAGTGGTTGTACATAAGTATTGCTGACTGTCTTTACACAAAATGTTTGGGGAACTCAAACTCCCATTCTCTCCCTGTCTTTCACCTTCTTCTGGAAAAAAATTCGTCAAAAGGGTTTCCTGTAACCCCTGAGTGAAAACTTGTTCTTTTGGGGTTGTTTCCCCAAATCTATAGCAAGCGGTGGATCAGTTGATGGATGGTACAAATCTAAAATTGGCACTGAGATTCTCGCCATGATAGGGTTTCAGTAGGGAGATATGGACTACAGGATAAATACGAGAGGAAGAAGGAAGATCAAGAATGTAAGCAATATTTCCCACTCGTTTAATGATCTTGAAGGTTCTGAAATAACTGTTGGAAACTTTTTGTGAAATCCGGAGAGACACAGTTGTTTAATGGTAGGGTTGGAGTTTTAACCAGAGAAAATCTCCCTCACTGAAGGTAAAATCTCCCTCATAGATGATCCAAATTATCGTGTGGCCAAAATAATTGGGTAAGTGAGTTATGAAATCCATGGTGATGTCTTCCCAAACCTTGGTAGAGATTTGTAATGGTTGTAACAATCATCTTTTTTCTGTGTTTCATACTCATTTTGTTGACATACAGAACAATGCTTGATTATTTTCTTTACATCTAGGGAAACTCCAGACCAACAGAAAGAAGCTCCGAGAAGCGCAAGAGTTGCTTTCACTCCCAAATGGCCCGCAGATGGTGTAGCATGATACTCATAGACAATGTGTTGATGAAGTTGAGAAAGATCATATTTAAAGACTTTAATTTTGTAGTGAAGTAATCCCTTTGAAAATCGAAATTCATTGTTTTCCTTGACTGGTTGTGTGACTTGTTGGAACAAAATCTGACTAGCCTTGTATTTTTCATAAAACTCGCGAAGACTGGTCAAGAGTGCAGGAACTGGGGAGGACAAAGACAGAAACAAGGAATCTGAAGACTTGAATTTGTGGCTTAAAGCATCACCCACAAAATTTGGTTTTCCGGGTTTGTAGAAGATTTCAAAGTTAAAGCCTTGTAACTTAGATGCCCATTTTTGTTGTTCGTGTGTTTGAATCTTCTGCAAAAGTAGGTTTCATAAGCTTTTCTAATCAGTGAAAATATGAAACTGCTGGTTGATAAGATAAATTCTTCATTTCTTGACAGCTTCAGTGATGGCAAACATCTCACGGACATGGGGCCTAATCGGGGGTAGGCATGTTGAAGAGTGAAAATGGCCTGATAAGAAAGGATAAGGTTAGAGATCTCAGGATCTAAGTCTGCAGGTAGTGTATCATGGGATGGCGAATTCATGGAAGGGGGATTGTCTTGGGAATCACATGTGTGGACAAGCATTAGGTGGAATGAAACAATTGAATTGGTGTGTATTATGTTACGAAGTTGGTGAAAGGAATTATGAATACGCCAGGTAGTCGGGTCCCCTTTCAATGTGATGGAATTGGCTTGATGTGAAAAAGTAATAGGTGGAATAGAAACATCGGCTTAGATCGGGCCTAGAGTGCGTAACCTCTCCATTCTAGAACAACATCAGCACCCTCGATGGGTAGTAAGTAGAAAGGAAGGTTGAAAGAGCTATTTTGTAGTACAAGTTCAACATTGTTACAAATTCCCTCATATTGTAAATGGGAATCGCTTCCCACCATAACTGAAAACCGAGTAATTGAAGTAGATTTAAGGTTAAAGGGGTATGCGATGCGAGGTTGCATGATGTTATGGGCAGTATCGGCCCAACACATGTTGAGGCCTAGAGAGAATTTGAAAGTATGTTATTTATATAATATTTAAATAAAACTATTATATTTAAGTTTGATATTTTAATATTTTTTATCCAAATTTAGTAATTATATGATAATTGATTTTACTTTGAAAAAATTCAACCGATAATAACATTATTAATCATTATGATCTTTGTTGAAATATTATATATCCAAAATCTTTAACTATTTTTCTTTAAATGAAAAATATTTGAACAATAAAATTTAGTTATTAATAACTTGTTTTTCATAATTTTTTTAATGTTGTTCGTCTGCCTACACTATAATGAAATGGTTGATTGAAATAAAATCTATCAAATCAATTTTTTTAAAAATATAACTACCCATTAAAAACAATAAAATAAAATACGTGGTTATTATAAAAATAAATCAATATATACTACCCTTATTATAATTAATGGTTTTTCACTATTCCCTATAGAAATCAAGTGTGGCAAAACAATTTAAAAGGCAGACAACACTAAAACTGCACAATAATAATAGTAAATGTAATGTAATTATATTCGCATAGGTACATATGCTAGGTTTTAATGACATAAACTTATAAGTAGGATCATTAAGTGTAGTCAAAGAAAATTTACAGATTATAGGAAATGGCCTTTGTGACCTTACCCTAGGGTTAGGCGTGGTTATGGGTGGTTATGGGTACTACTAGTATCAACTAGAACCAGGATTTTGAGGCCGCCGATAGAATCTTTGAATTTCAGTGTTTGGGGGAAAATTGGCCCGTGATAGCTTGTAGGGACAGTTGAAAATAGGTATCACACAAATTTGTCTCAACTTTTGTGTTAATAATGTCCTCATCAATAGTATTAGTCTCACCAACTTCTTCTTCTTCAGCCATTAAGAGTAAAAACCTATTAGTGGAGCATTTATGACCATTGATAAATTTCTCATTGGAATTGAAACATAAACCTTGTGCTCTTCGTTATTGTAATTGGGCTTGTGAAAGGCGACGAAGTTTAGAAGGGAGTGGGGTTTGGGTTTTGGGAAAGGAAGGCAACTGTGGGCTGGTAGAAGATTGTGGTTTGAATGTATTTAGGGTTGGAAGAGGCGTGAGAGGTTTTTGGTATTGATTTGGAAATGGATTAGAGAATTTTCGTTTGGAATCTTTAATTTTAGATCCAATCAGTTTAGCTATACCAATAGCTTGTGAAATAGAGAGAGGATGGGGGATAGCCATTTCATTGCGGATTTCAATGGATAGACCAGAAATAAAATAGTTCAATAATGCCTCTGGAGGCAAACCCACAACTTGGTTTCCCTATTTCTCAAATCTGGTTTGGTATACCATAAATGAACCCTCCTGATGATTATCATACGTAGAAGGACCAAAGCGCAACTCCAAACCTCTAGATAAAGCAAACCAATCGGTTAACAATTAGTTTTGATGCATCCACTTAAACCAACGTAACACATCACCTTTCATGCAAAATGAAACCAAGGATAGGCGGTGGTGATGTGTTGGCTAGGGTTACGGTGAGGTATACAGGGCTGGTAAGCATGGGCATAGAAGGAGGGTTATGGGTGATGTTGGAAGAGCTCGCATCGGTTTGAATAATGGGCGAAGGTGGCTTAGTTCTTTGAGTTGTTAATTTGTTGAGGATTGACATGAGAGAATCACACCTCATGTTTGCAACATGTGTTTTGTTGTCCATCCTTGTGTGGATTTGAGATATATGTTACTGCAATTCATCTGTAGCTTGAGCAAATCGTTCATCTAACTGGATCTGAGTTTCTTGAATAAGGTTATCAAGGTGAAGACGGGTGGTTTGCACAACTGTTTAAACAACTTCATCAATGATTTCCTTAGAGGAAGGGTTAGAAGGTTTAGGGGGGAGTCATGGAAGATATTGAGTGCAAGAATGAAAGCACCAATGATAGATTAATGCTAGGCTAAATTTAGATCTTAGTTGCATAAGAGATAAAAATAATAAAATAACTTTTCTACATAAATTTCCTAAGACCACTCTTACATCAATATATATATATATATATATATATATATATATATATATATATATATATATATATATATATATATATATATATATATATATATATATATATATATTAAAACTTCTTTAAATATCTCACATGACTAACCTTAATTTGTCTCTTTGATTTTTAAAATCTATACTTATATTTAAATAAAAGGTTAAATATGTCCGAAGTTGCTATAAATAATTCATCATTTAGTTTTAATCTCTATAAAAATTTCCTTTAAATAATGGTCTTCCTAAAATTTTCCGTATGCAATTTTGGTCTTTATCGTCAACTTATATTAAAATTAATGTGGCACGCCACGTCACTTAAAGTCAATATAATAGCTGACTACAAATAAACACGTTATATTGTGGGAGTTTCAAACCTCCCTTAATTCCTTAGAATATGGTGTCTAGCTATCTCGAAGAAGCGCTTTTAGTTGTCTACACTCATAATTCTTTATCCCTATAAGACTATGCCTTTCTGTTCCATGCTTGTGATCAGAGAAAATGGATCCAACAAGCATAAAAAATCTAATTGTTTTGTCACAACCTGTATCCAATATTTTTTATCACGTCACGCATGTTATTTCTTACTTATTTGGCTACCTAACTAGACAATATAAATATAAGAATTCCAAATTGAAGTGAAGTAGATAGTTTAATCAACTTCATTTCCATAATAACTTGCGGTAATTAATAAATATAATAAAACTCAAAATTCGATACTTCATTTCATCATGTGTTTATCTCTTTACTTTTCATGACAGCTTTAATTTTTTTCAAAACTTAAAATGATATCAAAACATATTTAATTATTATGTTGACTTTCATACACTCGGTGATATCAAAACCTATTCAAGAATCTATATTAAAACCTGTTTTGTTTGAGAACTAATCACTACTAAAAAAAAAATTGAATTTAGAGAGGGTATAATTTCGTCATTAATTCACTAAAGTTTCCTCACAAAAACATTTAGTAACTTGTTTAGGAACGTATGATTTATTGGAAATATAATTTAGTTAATGTCTACAATTTTCAATGTTTATTCTTTAATAGGACTTTTTGACATTTTCAATTTTAGTATAAATATGCTACCTAGGCTATCAATATTGTAACTCATTCATTCCTCTTTTTGATATACAATAGTAGTCCTCTTTGTTATCATTCATTGTTCATTCTTCTTCTCCCTTTTCATTACATTGCACCAACAAATTGGTATCTAGAGCACTTGGTTCTGCTTTTCCTGAGAAACACGAGTGTTTGTGAGCTGTGTGTTTGATTTTGGTTCATTGATTTTCTATTGAAATCTTGAACAAAATCTGAACAGAATCTGATTCTGTGGGTTGGGAAACAGTGTGTTTGAAGATCTGAAAAATTCGTGCAAGGTTTAAAATGAGTGGAGACAATAGTTTGAACACCAAACTTCTAGTTTTTAATGGTAAAAACTGGAACAAATGGATGATACAAATGTGTGTGTTGTTTGGTGCGCAAGATGTTCTGGATCTGGTTATAGATGGTTATGTACCAGCTGCAGCAGATGCAACTGAAGAATAGAGAACTGTTGAGAGGATGATGAGGAAGAGGGACCAGAAAACTCTGTTCTATATCCATCAGTGTGTGGATGAAAGTGTGTTCGAGAAGATTGATGATTCAACAACGTCAAAAGGGGCGTGGGATTTACTGGTGAGATGTTACGGTGGTGACGCATCAGTAAAGAAGGTGAAGCTTCAATCCCTACGAAAGCAATATGAGAACCTGAACATGAAGAGCAGTGAGAAAGTTTCTGAATATATCTCCAGAGTGATTCTGATCACTAACGAGATGAAGGCGTGTGGAGAAACTATGTCTGAACAGGTAATCATAGAGAAGATTCCGAGGTCGATTACTCCTCAGTTTGATTACATTGTTGTTTCTGTTGAATATTCTAAAGATCTGGAAACCATGAGAATAGAAGAATTACAAAGCAGCTTAGAAGCACAAGAGTTACGTCTGTCTGAGAGAACTTCTGAGAGGGAAGCTGAGCAAGCTCTGAAGGCTTCTTTTGTCAAGAAAGACTAGAAGTAGAATAAACATGGTGATAGATTCCAGAAGTCAGAAGCCTCAACTTCTGATGATAAGAAATATCATAAAGGAATGGAGAGGTATTAGAAAAGGAAGGTTCAATGTTACTCTTGTAAACAATTTGGCCATTTTGCTAGAGATTGCAGGTCAACCAAGGAAAGGAAATCAGAAGAAGCATATATGACTGAGAAACTCTGATGATGAACCTGTACTACTAATGGCTTCTGATTCTGATGGAAAATGCTCAGAAGATTAGTGCTATATGGACACTGGTTGTTCAAATCATTTGACTGGAAACAAACAATGGCTGACAGACTTTGACTCCGGAAGGAGAACAAAGATCAGATGTGCTAACGATAAGTATCTTAATGCAGAAGGTATGGGGGATGTTAGAGTTATAGTGAAGAATGGGAAAGACATTTTGATCAAGGATATTTGGTATGTTCCTAGTATTAGAAGCAATCTGATGAGCGTAGGTCAGCTGATTGAGAAAGGTTTCTCAGTTGTTAA